GGCAGGATGGTCTCGATCTCCTGACCTCGTGATCCGCCCGTCTCGGCCTCCCAAAGTGCTGGGATTACAGGCTTGAGCCACCGCGCCCGGCCGTGAAAGAACTTTGTAAACTATACATGACACAAATAGAAGGTGACACTGGTACAGAAAGAGTAATTGATCCTCCACATGAAAAACATTATATAAATGTAATTAATTCATGGTTTATTTTGAATGTGGGTCATTATGAGTGATTTGCAGAAACATTAGATTTTTAAAGCAAAACTGGTTTCACCCTTAGAACAAGTTGAGTGGGAGCAATTCCAATAGATTTGGAGAGCAGAAAGCAAGCTTGGGCGTTTGGGTCCCTCATTCTAGGTGTGTATCTTTATGTCTTCATAGTTACTCAGTTTTCCTAGAGTGACGAGTGGAACTAAGTTATTACTTTTGCATTAGCTATAAGCTTTGTCTTGGTGAATAAAAATGTTTTCTGTATGTCTCCCTTCTTTCTCCCCACCCTCCTTCCTTCCCTCCACTTTCTCCTTCTCTCCCTTAATCTCCAACAATTCTCAGAGCTATTCACTACTCAAGTTATATTGATAGTTTTTGCTTAGTTAAGATTATTTGAATGTTTTGCTAGTGCCTGAAATCATCATGTTGTTATCTTTAACTCACTAACCAAATTATAAGCTGCTCAGGAACAGACACCAGAATATTTTATGTAGAATCATGGATTATTAAAGCTGGAGGGAAATTTGGAAATCATTTAGTCCGCTTTTCTTATTTTTCCAATAAGGAAACAAACCTAAGAAGAAATATGACTTGGGAATAAGTAAACCTGTTCTTCATTAGGATTTTTCATGAGGATTATTTGAGACAGTATATTCAAAATGCAGACATATTGCAGATATTCAAATGGCAGTAGGCTCCCTTCCAGACTGGAAAAACTTTTCTCCCAAGATAGGGATTAAGAGGGTAATTAAGCTGTTTGGATAAAAAAATATATATAACCCATTTTGGAAAATAACATTTCCATTTTAAGATTCTGTTAATTTTTTAATGTGTTCATTTCTAGGTTTTCTCTTGATCTGCCGTCCAATGCTCTGCTTCTGAGCTATACCCCCTCCTTCATTTCTAGGTTTTCTCAAATTAGGTTCCAGGAAGCCCATGGATATGGGAAAGGATAATGTATCTTGTTTCTCATGATGGTATTTTATAATTTCAGTTACCATATATTCAACTTTTTGCAGAGGATATTGCTTCCTGTGCTGAGTTTGTATGCTTGGAAATGGTATCTAACCAGGAATTTCCTTTTTAAGAAGTTTAGTTTCATTTTAAATATACTCACATAGACACTCAAATTTCACTATTTAAAAGTAATTATTTTTAAAAATTTATTCTATGTGTTCTTTCAAATAGTAATAGATCCCATTATTACTAAATGTTTAGGGGACTGTGAGAGAGAGATATAATACACCAAATTAAGAGACCGTTTCTGTGATAGCCATCGTGGCTTACATTTCCCAGAAGCCTAGCTCATGCTTTTAGTTAAGATTTACATTGCCGGCCAGGCGCAGTGGCTTATGCCTGTAATCCCAGCACTTTGGGAGGCTGAGGCATATCACGAGGTCAGGAGATCGAGACCATCCTTGCCAACATAGTGAAACTCTGTCTCTACTAAAAGTACAAAAATTAGCTGGGTATGGTGGCGCACACCTTTAGTCCCAGCTACTGGCAGGAGAATCGCTTGAACCTGGGAGGCGGAGGTTGCAGTGAGCCGAGATCGTGCCACTGCACTCCAACCAGGCAACAAAAAAAAAGATTTACATTGCCCACCTATGGGCACTGTGGTCAGAAGTACCTACAACTATAATAGCTGCATTTATTTCTGACAGCAATTCAGAGTTTCAACCTAAAATATTATTTTCTCAGTATTGTATCACATCTAAACTGTTTCCTTCCTCTTTTAAGTTTTAACAATTTGCGACAAGTTTTGTAAATTAAGAGGTTAAATGAGTTATGTTTACTTGCTGTTTGATCTGAAACCATTCAAATACTAATATTTACTCATCTGTTACTGAGAGAAGAGTTTTGAAATCTCCAACTATGATTGCAACTTTTTTTTCACATCCTATCAGTTTTTGCTTCTGTTACTGGAACTCTGTTACTAGGGGTGTAACATTTGTAGTATTTTGTCTTCTAGATGAATTGACTCCTTTATCATTATCTAATGTCATTTTTTTCTCCTGGTGCTATTTCTACTTGTCTGATATTAATATAGCCACTCCAGGTTTTTTTTAATTGATGTTTGCACAGCATATCTTTTTCCAATCTTTTATTTTTGACCTATCTGTGTCTTTATATTTAAAGTGGTTTTCTGTAGTTAGTATGTCATTGGGTGTTGATTTTTAAACATCTAAGTGATAATCTCTGCCTTTTAATTTGTGTGTTTAAGCCATTTACATTTGATGAAATTATCAATATAGTTGGGTTTGAATCCACCATTTTGCTATTACTTGTCTCATCTCTTTTTTT